CAGGAATAGGCAATCCACCAGAACCTCGAGGCGCTGGTAGAAACCACCGCCGTTCAACATGCGGAGAGCTCCGCGTCGAGACACCGGCTCACGGCCTCTTACCCCACCAGGGGAATGGGGCCGCACCAGTCGAATTGGTCCATCCACTCACCACTAGAGTTGTCGGGCATGGGGTAGGAGGCCGCGGCTGCACCACAGCCCGACTCGGCGCCCGCTCCACACCGACCACCTGTGCGTGAACGGCTCAGGCCGAACCATGACGCTCGCAGCGTCATCAACAATCGATGTCATGCCCGGCACGATGATGACGTTCATCAAGTGGCGACAAGAGCAGGCGGCACGGGCCCCGGCCTGACCATTGAGGAGTGCGGGGACACCCATCCTAGGCATGGTGGCCGGATGACCAAACGATTGGAGCCCTAGCCCGGATGGCCTGGGCCACGGGCCTTTGGTCATCGCATCCAGAGAGCGCCGTTCCCACAGCGCTTTCGACCACCCACCAACATCACCAAATACACCGGGGAAATAAATCCCGATATATGGCTCAAAGACTTTCGGCTCGACTGCCGAGCTAGAGAAGTGGATGATGACCACTTCATCATTCAGTATCTCCCCATCTACGTGGGGGAGCATGTTCGAGCATGGCTCGAATTCCTCCCGCCCGACAGCATCCGCGACTGGGCGGATCTTAAGAGGGTCTTCATCAGAAATTTCCAGGGGACATATGTCCGTCCTGAAAATTCTTGGGACCTCAAGAGCTGCCAATAGAAGCCCAACGAGTCCCTACGGGATTACATCCGCAGTTTTTCAAAGCGGTGAAACTCTCTTCCTGATGATGTTGACGTAGAGAGGTGCATTGTAGCTGTTAAATCTAATGGCAACTGACCGTGACGATGACACACGCTCTATGCATTGATCTGTGATGAAATGGGAACAAATAAAAAGTAAGTTAAGATTAAGTCATAAGATGAGATCAAGGGGGAATGTTAGTTTGATCACCACCAATTGGCCCCGCGACCAATCGGATCCGCGTCCTGATCGGGGACGCTTAACCGACCACTGGTCGGTGGACCCCTATCACACAGCGCTATATAAAGAGAAAGATAGAGGCCAGGGCACAATGGGACGAGGTTTACCGCCGCCACTGACCCACCGAAGTAACCCTAGTAGGCCCCTCCGATCGTGGGCAGCGTTCCAAGTGACGGTAAGCGCCATCGACCGCGTCGTCGGCACTGGACTACACCGCCACGCACTACGTAACTGCTGCCGTAGCGATTTCTTCCCCTCTACCTCCTCTGCTAAGCCCAAAGGTATGGGTCTCTACTCTGTCTCCCTCTTCCGAGTCTATCTCTCTCCTGAGTCATGTACTTGATCAATTTGAATCAAATAAAGATAAATCCACCCACTGATCTATGCATAGATGATCGGAAAAACTTAACAGACAGCAGATGAACTAAATTCCCCGAGCAGAAAAGCCGGCCTGAGAACCCTAATTTCTCACTAAATCTACGCACTAAGTAGATATGGGTAGCTAATATCATACCTACAACTATAGGTATATACAGATCCCTCACCGAGATTCACATCGCAAAGCTCACCCGCAGGCACCGGGTCCGCGCACCGCCGCCAGGCTCGCTCCGCAGGAGGCCGCGGGAGGGCCTTGGCCCACTGCCGAGCACGCCCCGCGGGGCCGCACGCCGCCGCCGGGGTCGCTCTGCGCGTGTCTCGGCGAGGGAGAGGAAGATCTGGAAATCGCCTGGAGATCGCCTTCCGACTGTAGCAAGCCGAGAAAGGTCTGCTGAATTGCTGATGGCTGATGAGAGCCGGCCGCAGCACATTCTCTTACCAATTGATTGAATTCGTTCGGCCCAGCCCAACCAGGCCCTGTGTGCGTAGCCAATGGAGACATGGATGGAGTCACGCACAGCGGCGGCACATGAATCCGTCTAGTCACGTCTGTTGGTACGCCGGCTGCGCTGTAGGCTCCTCCCTGCGTACAGCCGGGGGGGGATGACGCACGGGAACGGGCACGGCCACGAGTTCCCACAGTGGCCACTACTGTGCTATGGTGGCTCGAGATTGATGGCAAGAATATCCTTGGATTTTTTTTCTAAACAGGAGATTGCGCAGTGCGGCTGTGCGCGGCCAGCGTGGGTGGGCGGGCACGCACACGGGGTTTGGTTTGGCGGGCGGGAGCACAGCGTACCAACTCAAATCAAACAGGATGGGGATTGGACGCGACCTGCCGTGTCGGGCTCGGAACGCGTACTGATCCCTGCTCGCGTTCGTGGCTTCCTGCCGCCGCTGCTCCCTTGCCCATGCGGCTATGCCGAGCGCAGCAGTCAGCAGCAAGCTTTGTCCTGTTGCCATCGTTGGGCCGTGACTTCTACGGTGCAAGACGGTCATGCGTAATATATCTGGAAGAATTCCAGCCCGGTCCATGAAAATGAAGTGAGCGCAGCCAACCTAGACGCCGCTTTCTTCCTGTTCCGGCCCGGTTGCAGATGCGAAAGGAGGTTCCACGTCAACCCAGGGCAAGAGCCCACCCATCCGTGGTTCCGTGGCCTGTACGTCCAGGTTTTAAGTTTCACAAAACAAAACATGAATGGATAGATTTCATCGTAAGGAATTTAACCAACTCAACTGTTCTCAGTTCACAAGGATATTTTAATGTTATTAGAAAAGAAAAAGACGCACAAGCTGTACATTAGGGTGGGTCTGAGCATCCATATACCATTCTTCTGATTTCCTAGATGTCGCTAAGACGTGTTGTATTAAACTTTTTTCTTTACTTTAATATAAAGACGCGCAACTCTTTTACGTGATCGAGAAAAGAAAAGGAAAAGAAAAAAAACTACATTAATAATATTGGAGGGTCATATATATAGACTTGAACAGTAACCTACTGAAGATGCTCGGACTCGACACAAAGTTCAAATGCTACTGTTCTACACTGAAAAGTGGATTACTCAACTTGGTCGTCGACCTCCCAATTTCTACTCGGTTACTCATTATTTAGGCTACGTTCGGCTGGTACTAAAAAGTACCGTTTATAGCTGAAAAATATTATTTACGGTTAGTTTTCTCTTATAAATTTCTTTAGATTTCTCCAAGCAAATGGGGCTTAGGGTCTATTTGGTGCAGCTCCCATACCTCAGCGGACAGATCCACCCAAATGCTCATGCGAGTAGGAGCACTTCTGACTGCCCAAGCCCAAAGTAAGAGCTATCATCGCTTGGTTGTATTTGATTTATAAGTTATGGCTAAAAGTACTATTGATTGATTTGGTGTGAGAGAAAAATACTGTTCGTTGGTTGAAATCAAGCTAAAACAAGCCAAACAAGTTCAAATGAAGAGGGCGTATTTTCGCGTATGGAGATGGAACTGCGAAAATTGGCTCCAGCGGGGGGCTCCATCTCATCACCGAAACACACGGAGCGAGAGCTGAAAACTGATGAAAATGGCGAGAAAATCTCTTTCCTATTTTTGCTTCTATATTTTTTTGAGAAAACATAATCGGGTTCAGAGGAACCAAGATTGAAAACAGTATCAGGATATGCTGCTATACGAAAACAGACAAATACAGATATAGAGCTGAAAAACTAAATTAGGATTATATGATCTAATGTTCTCAGGCATGTATGTATCAAGTTACACGACCATATACCTCAGGCATGTATGTATCAAGTTACACGACCATATACGGGATCAATCTAATATTCAATGAGAGAATTTCTTATTTGACATCAGACAAATGACTCATTCTTTTCTTAGCCCTCAAAAAATTTTCGTTTCCTATTTGACACCGAGTTCAACTTTTATTCCTTACATGACATTCCGTTACATTTTTCATCCGGCCACCGTTAACTGCACTGTGAAAAGACGATTTTACCCTTGTGGGCCCCACCACCCTTCTCCCTCCTCTCCTCCTCCAGGCCGCCGCGTCATCTGTGTTAATGTAGTACTGATTATTGGGCATCGAGATAAATCCATGTCCATCCCGAATAAAGACAGAATTTTACAAAAAGAAAACTCTCTTTTATTTTCCTTCTCGTTCCTATATTCTTCCGTACGAAATGGGGTAAAAGTAGAACGAACGGGACGAGACAGGGTTTATTCCGTCCGTTATCATCACTGCACAGAGCGTACTACACAGAGCATGAACCGCACCAAAACGCGCCCTGATTACACTTCTTCGCCATCGGTGGCTAACGACTTCGGATTTTCTGGGCCTAAAATTTGCCATGCCAAAACTAGGGCAAGCCAAAACTAGGACGCGCCAAATTTGGTTGTTAAAACTTTGGCAAAATTTTGGTATAGCACTTGGTTGGGGATGACATCCAAAATTTTGGACCTTATTGATTTGATGCCAAAATAAGAAGCGCATTTTCTCTTTTATGCAGCTTAAGAACTTTATAGACTTTCCAAAACTTTAGCTATAAATATTGGTGTGCTAATTCTTTAACAATGAACCAATTGATGACTAAAATTTTTGGCATGCCATAATTTTAATCGGGCAAAAATTGATAGCCAACCAATTAGGCCCTCTATTTTTCCTTCTATAGCTTTGAATTGAAATTGTACAAACGACTACGGGTCGCCTCTTACCACGATCTGGGAAGGCGAGATCGAGGCCAAGACACTACAGTCTACAAGGAACGTATCGCCATCGACTGGGAGGTTTGAACCGCATGGAAATGCAGTTTTTTAATCGAGAAGGCATCGTTACAACATAGAAAAAAACGACTTTGTATTGAGGAAAATACCAGAGTTCAAAATGATCATGCAAGTTCGCACTTGGGAAAGCATCTCTAACAGTCTACCGTGCGACAAGTGCAAACGCAACGCAATAAACCAAATCCTCTTCCGTCCCACCTTCAGATCGATTTGCAGGTATCTATCTGGATATAGTCCAGGTATGTGACGCACAAGTGCCTCGAACAATTACCACTGAAATATGCCGCCTAGCCATATTCATCCATGTTTTTCTTCACGTCGTGTTACTTCTGGAATTGAACGCTGTAAGAACCAGTGTTTGGGTCTTTGACAGCTTTGAAATTGTCAACACTCATTCCGAAGCGGCCCAGCACAGAGTTCCCCAGATCTTTCAGCTTTGCTGCAAGAGATAACATGGGTCCATTAGTAGGAAAAGGAAAAATGATTCACGGAGAAGAACATGTGCATTACTTGATCACTAAGAGCAACGGCACATGAGATTATCAGTAAAAAAACAAACAAATCCGGATAACAAAAGGAGGGCATTGAAATTAATTTTGTTCAGTGGTTAGCTTTATGAGCAACGTAAAACTTTGGCATTTTCCTTGCACACAATGCATTCTAACTCCTAAGCACTTCACATTTCATCACCAAGTGTTCCCTGAAACAAACATGCTTTGCAAGAAAAGCCATTTTACAGAAGAGATATCTACAACTTTCCACAATGGGATCACAAAGCGCCAACAATGCTGTTTGTGATACTTGGAAAAAAGGCAGCACATTACCAATCATTTCTTCCTTCATCTTTTCCCTCTTCTCAGCTGCCAGGGGCTCAAGTCGGAAAAGAGACCTCGTGGCTTGTTGATTTGAAGGATCCACTTCAATAGCCTTTTTCATATCTATGAGCAGTGATCAATTGACACAAATGACAGCAATCAGAACTAGTGAACTTCAGCAATGATGCATGCTTATGTGAAAGGCGATAATGTGCAACTGACACATAAAAAAACATAAGAGAAAACATCTAACCAGCAATAGCTTCATCATAGTGTTCAAGCTTTTCATGCGCTTCTGCCCTCCGAAGCAAGGCTTTCAGGTATGTTGGGTTGAGTTCAAGTGCTTTTGTGCATTCTTTAATCGTCTCATCATGTTTTCCCTAATAACACAAAAGTCAGCATTGGGGTCTGCTTATAATGAGACAAAATAGCTTTATTCAACAGATGTGGTGATCCAAGTAATTAACGAAGAGATTAAAGGTGAATAGTACAATACATTTGAAACTAGACTAAACAAGTGCAAATATTTAGCAAAACTAGAAGCAAAGATTTCGACTACCAAGACACCAGGTAGAACAGCTCAGAGTCCAGCAAGTTCAGGCAGCACATTCAAAACAGTGTTTGCTAGCAAACTTAAACAAGAGCACAAGGGCAAGTCCTCTCAGGTTAAAACAGTAAGAAGGAATCATATCAATCAGGGGATAACAGTAGTGGTAGCAGGCCAGTGGGTACCATCTTTATGAAAAATACATAACCACACTGCACTAATGAACTTCCACAACATTAAGGAATAATCATGGCCCATAAATATGCTCTGCCCACCAAAGCTATATTACAATCAGAAAAATGGCTTACCAATTTCAGGAAGCACACAGCACGATTTGAATGGCATGCGGCGCGTATATCCTCAGAAGATTCCAGCTCAGCAGCAATTTGCAATGCCATTTCATATTGAGATAATGCTTCCTCATATTGTCCAGCACCAAAAAGCTTGTTTCCTTCTGCTTTTGCATCATTTGCTTGGCTTCTAGCTTTCTACAGCAAGTAGTAGGAGTACTCATTTACCAGAGTGCAATAAATCTCCCCAGAAAGGATGCTATAGAATTTGGACCCAAACTAACAAATAATATAACAACAATAATAAGCTCCAAGCAATAGCCTCCAAGAGGTTGTAAGATGATAATGAATTGAATTGCTGTCTATATCATGCAGTGGCAGTTACTGCTAGCACAATTATATACCAAGACACTACATCTGATTGTTCGGGGTCATTCATTCCTACCTATTCTTGCCGCAAAAATTAGCAAATTTTACAGATAAGTCATGGTTTATCATTCCCCTCACCATCTTACAGCTGTTCATAACAAACAGGGCGGTTATTGGGGGTTTATCACTACCCACAATCAAATCTAGCAACGAAACTACTAGCTACTCCAACTCTACGCACGAATCAATCAATAAATCCTACAACCTAGTTCAAACACCGAGAAACTGAACCCCAGATTCGAGCATCGCAGTCAGCAATCGTGAGGGGAAATGCAATAAGGATGCGGTGGCGGTCATGTCACTACCTCTCGCAGCTGCTCGTCGGTGAGCGCGTCCTCGAAGGCCTCCTCCTCTTCTTCCGCCGCCCTCGACGCCTCCCCGCTGGCCGCGGCGGCGGCCGCCTCCTCGGGCGCCGCTGAAGACGAGGGGCGCACCGCCTCCCCGCCGGCCGCGGCGGCCGCCTGCTCCTCCGCCGCTGGCGACGAGGGCCGCGTCGGCTCCTCGGGCTCCTGCTCGATCACTACCATGTCTTGCCCACGATGGGAGGATTGGATTCGCGAACTCGCTCGGGAAGTCTTCTCGGAGACGTGCGTAGAGGGTACCGATACCGAATGGATCGGTGGCTGCGGGGTTTGTGCGCTTTTGGGACTTGTTCGGAGGATTCTGGAAACGGGCACGAATGGGCATGTTTGGTATTTCAACCACCCCACGAGTTAAGTGGTGTTTGATTGTTCCTCCTAAATTTTAATTATTGTTATATTGAATGTTTGGACATATATATATAGTATTAAATATAAATTAATTACGAAATTAATTGCATAGTTTACGAACTAATTTATTTTTTTAAGTCTAATTAATCAATGATTTGACAATTTTGTGGTACAGTAAATATGTACTAATGTCAAATTAATTAGACTTAAAAAATTCATCTCGTGAAGTACTAACGAATTATGTAATTTATTTTTTTATTAACATCCAAACACTCTATGCAACGTCCTCCCGATACACCTATCAAACACCCGCTAACAATCACGGGCAAAAAATCGTACCATCTGGGGACTCTACGGGCAGGTTTGGTTACTTCGTTTGACAGTGTTTAGCCAGCCCAATCAAGGATGCTGGGTGGGTTTGCTTGTTTGGTTCTTTGCCCTGAGTGTCTAGGAGCCTGTGCAGGCGAGATCTGGCTTGCCTGTGTGAGATAGCAAAACTGGCTTGCTGGGCTGGGCGAGCTCCTCATTTTCTGTGTCAGCCAGCGAGGCGAAGCGTTGCCAAGAACCAAACGTGCCCTACGGGTCTCGTGAACCATGCTTACGTCATCCAATTTTGTTATGCATGAGTAGAAGTTTTATCATGTGTTAGCTAGGACCTCTGCAAAGCCACCAATAGCTCTAACAACAAATCTTGGATCCAACATGGTAGCTATGGCTTCTAGATATAATGCATTGAGAAACCCCTTATGTGGATTGCCATAGTTTGCTTGAGACAGTAGAAAATAGATGACATCACCCAAAGTGCATAGAGGTCTCGTTGTAGGACGGTATTGGCACTGAGGCCTTCTGCAATGTGTAGCTAAAGTGATGCCCAGAATAGAACGAGAAGATTTGGGCATCACTCGAAAGTCAAAACACTGCAGCCATCAATGCTCGCCGTTTGGAAAACTAGGAGTGACGCAAGTACATACGGCGGTGCCATCTTCGTTAAAAATTGTTTTTAACGCGAGAGTCTGATTGCCACTCAATGAGAAACAAAGAACGAGAAACAGCTTTACCTTTCTCTTAATATATCACATGGGGTCCCTAGCGATGCTGCATGGCGTGCACACACTGTGGCCTTGCAGGCGTGATGCAAAAATCTGCTCTGTGGACTCGATTACTTTTAGGCATCACTCCACACTTTGGAGCGCCTAGGGGCATCATGATTGTAGGAAATAAAGGAATCTTAAGCTTCTTAGTATTGGCTACATACACTACATAAAAAAGTCGGTGAGGAAAACACATGCACGAGAGGCAGGCAAGTAGGTTCAATGACGGCGTGCCACCAGACCGTGTGGATGGACTGTTGTGGCAGTGGCATCTTGCTGTGGACGACGGCAAGAGCTTTTCTACACTCATGCGCGCAAAAGGCGGAGCTTAGTTGAGAAGGTGGGTCATGCCCCTCCCCTCTTGTCCACCTAATTCTACTAGATAAACAATATTTTTAGCATTGTTTATGGTTATTATAGTTTAGTTTAGCTTGACCGACCCCTCCTATTTGCTTTCTCATGCTCCGCCTCTACTTGCGTGGACAAATAATGATGGGTTCCAACGTGGGTGTCAAACGGGCGACACCAACGATGGAAGTCTCCATTGCAAGCGAGAGACAAGGACACACATTTAAGGCCTCTAGAAGCCTTAGAGCATCTCCACCGGTCTTTCTAAAATGTACTCTCTAAATTATTATTTGGAGAGTTATTTGAGTAAAAATTTCGTTTTATTTATTTTTTATCTTTCAACAATTTTTATATATCTTGTGCTAGGGCGGATCCAGGCAAAGGGGGGGGGCCAAGCCCCCCTATATGGAAATCACTTATGAATTTTTGGGCAAAGTTCTAGTGTGTGAAATAGTGAGACTTAAGATCGAGATCGAAGAGTGGTGTTGTTCAGACCCCTAAAATATCTCTCTGGATCTTTGCTAGCACTCTAGAAAATCATCGTTCTCAATCTTTGGCTAGCGAAAAATCTGAAATAGAGAATATATATTTAGAGATCCAATTAAAAAGACTTTTAGAGGATTTTTTTACCAAAATTTTATTCATATAAATTAGGAAGATAGATTAGGAAGGATGGGTTTGCTCATTCGCTCTTGATGCCCTAATGGAATCTGTGTTCCGCTCGTACATGTTGGTATGGCCGGAACGTTTGGCATTTTTCCTGTACGGGATTAAACCATTTGTATATCACTCTATCGACTTGAACTGGGCATTGCGGCCAGTACCAAGACAGATTTGATAAACTTGCTAAACCCAGTGTTTGGATATGCTAAAAATTAACATACCAGTTCTTGACAATTTCTAACATACCTATTAGCAAATGCATGTTTGATCCGATAATACTAGTTTTTAGTTGCTAACTGTTACTAGTACCTGTATCTAAAGGACCTAGTCTCTGCTCACTTCCGTGCAGAAATGGAGCCATAAATGTAAAAATTTCTTTCTGTTGCGCCCGCAAATCTTACATTTTCGCTAAAATTTGATCGATTTTAAGAATTATCGGTGGAAATGAGTAGTTCACGCTACAGTAAAGAGCCGCGCACGCTACAGTAGAGCCACCGTGCAAGCCCGATCATTTTCCTTTCCAAGGAGAGGCCAGCGGTATGTATTTTACCAAAATTTGGTTAATTCAAAAAAAAATCCGGTGGAAATTGTACACGCGAGCATGCCGTATCTGAATGAAATCCAGCCCAGTCCATGAAGAGTGCAGCATAAATATACTGTTCGGCTGGTCATATTACGGATTGTTTCAGCTTATTCTCTCTTACAGAATACTATTGAATCATCCAAAATTATCCGAAATCCACTGTGCAGTCTACCAGCCAAACACGCTGCATATTGTCAGTTATAAACAAGCCGGATTCTGATTTAAATGTCGCCAATTAAACATTCCCGCTTATACTACCGATCCAATTGGCGGAACTGAAAGGGAGATCCTCTTCCTCTGCGAAAGTCACAGCTCACACGCGGACACGCCACCGATGGTAGAAGATGAAGAACACAGGCATATCCAAGCACGGCAAGCATGCACTGCAACAACTGCTAGCTTACGCATAGCTCCTTCAATATACCATAACCCGGTGCATATGCCACACCGTATTACATTACAAGCACAAACTTTGATATCACACGCCTAATCTTACTTTGTTGCGCACACGCGCTGCTATACTTATTTATTCTAGTATGTATATATCGTCTCTGATCGAGACCGGCACAATCAAACTGTCATCAGTATAACCCAATCGATAATAGTACAAGCAAACATCAAACGGTAGTAGTATGTCATCTTGGCAACGTATACTTACGTGCCAGTTGCTGTGTGTGGTACGACGCCGAGATGGCTCAGTCTGTCACTGGGAGGAGGTGTCCCTGGAGATGAGCGCGCGGCGGGGCTTGCGCGCCGGGTTGGGCGAGGTCTTGACGGGGAAGGACGCCTCCATGGCGATGCCGCAGAGGCCGCCGTTGCCGGTGCCGCGCTGCATCCGGATGTAGCCGCCCTCGCCCCAGGAGGGGCCCCACGAGTTCTTGACGATCCAGTAGGCCGTGCCGTTGTCGCTGACGCCGTAGCCAACCGCGGCGACGCCGTGGTCCAGGTCCGTGCCGCAATTGCCCGTGAACACGCCCTCCGAGTAGAACTGGAAAGCCTGGCCACCCGCGTCGATTGCCACGGACACCGGCTGGTTCGCCACGGCCTTGCCCAGCGCGTCCTCGCTGCCGGTCGGCACCATCTGGTGGCCGTCGATCGACACCACGCGCCCGCGCCGGGCCCGCACGCTGTCGCAGGTGCCGTTGGAGGCGTGGTACGGGTACGCGGACTCGGTGGTGATGCCGCCGTAGGACTTGATGAACTCGAAGGCGTTCTCCATGAGCCCGCCCTGGCACCCGTTCTCGTCCGTATCGCAGTCGATCAGCTCCTGCTCCGACAGAGACACCAGGCTCCCCGTCCGGATCGCGTTGATGCCCTCCACGGCCACCACCGTGGAGAAAGCCCAGCAGCTGCCGCAGTGGCCCTGGTCCTTGACGGCGGTCACCGCGCCCTCCTTCCGCCAGTCCACGGACCGCGGCAGGTCGGTGACGTCGTCGTACATGAACCCCGGCACGGCCGGCGCCGCGGGGGCCTCCGCCCGGCTGAGGTCGTTGATGCGGGAGTCGGCGAACGTGGAGCGGAACTCCTCCCGGCCCATGTCGCCGAAGCGGTTCAGGCGGAGGCGGTAGGGTCGGTCGCCGCGCTTGTTGTGCGCGTGGATGAAGCGCACGTTCTCCTTGAAGGTCCCGAACCGGCGGCCCTTCTCGCCGTGGTGCCGGTGCACCCGGTGGTGCGTCTGCCACCGCTCGTACAGGTCCCACAGCGCCTCGTCCGACGCCAGGTCCCGCTCGTCGAACTCGATGGCGCGGCACAGCTCCACCGCCGACACGACCACCAGGGCCACAAGGAGAAGCGCCTTAGCGAGCTGCGCCATCCTGCTAGTGCTTGCAACCTCCTAGCACTAGCACCCTTGTGTTGTGTTACTAGTGGCTGGCTGTGCTAGCGACTGGGGAGCTCGATCACTCGGCTGTTGGAGTGTGAGCTGATGGGTTGGGACGAGAAGGGAGGAGCCGTATTTATAGCGCGGAGCGGGCGAGAGGCGCCTTGCCGCCTTTGCCTTTGCGGCGGGAACGATTTGATTTGAATTGATGGCGGTAACAGAAAGCGGGGGAATATGGTGTCAGATTCAGCTCGGGAGTTGAGGCCGAGACCGGCCGATGGCTGCGGCTGTGCGGCAGCAAGTTGGTTGCCTC